CTAAACATCTCTGGAGCCCTGCAGATTGTCCTCAGGTTGCTGAGCTGCCCTTCACCTGTAGGTTCCTTCAGGCTCCAGCCTGGGATGTAGACCATGCTGCCTGCTAGCCACATGTGGACGTCCCAGAAAGTTCCTGACTCTAACCTGTGCACTGCTTATTTCTCCTTTCAGAGAATGGCACTGATCCGGAAAACAACCAAGAAATAACACATGGAAAGGTCAGGGAATGGACAACATTGTATTTGGAGATACTTGAGCCGAGACCTCAGCCATCTCATCCTTGGATTTTTTTTTTAATGCTTTACAGAGAAGCATATATTTTTTATTAACAGTGCAGCAATATCTATAATGACTGAGAGGATCTGCCAAAAGAATAAAGCCTCCTACCCTCACTTTGGCCCCTTTTCCCTGCCGTCTCAAAGAGGAGCAGTGTATCTTCCAGAGAAGATTTTATTTGTGGTTTATTTTATAAGTGAATGAATATGGGACGAAGCAGTATGGTCTTGTTTGGTGAGACAGTATTAGCAGGACGTGTAGAGGTTTTTGTTTCCTTCTCCCTTTCACCTTTCCCTGTACTTTGTAATGTCAGTGTTTATATGAATACGACTTTCATTTGCTTTTCCAGAATAAAGAAGTTATTAATTGAAAGACAGAGGATGCATGGCTTCCAGCCTTTGAAATCCCGGAGGAAGTTAGGAGCAGCAAGGCTGGATGCAGCTCCGTAGTCAGCAGGTGGCAGCAATGTTACTCATTTCTGTGGTTAAGAAAAAGCCCAGGGATTTTCCATTACTTTACTCCAAGGAAGGCTATACCATAGGTAGAAGTTTGAGTCTAGTTTCTCTGCCATAGAATTGGGTAGGCTGACCTCTCATGAACCCCAAACTGAAGAGGCATCTTGGTTTTGGCAGAGGAATTCTGGAATTCCTAGAGAAAGTTGTGTTTATCCTGGGCCTGAAGAAGGGATGGCAGTAGTCTTGGGGAAAGGCCAGTCTCTGCAGGTGCCTGTCTGCTCTTAGTTGTTGGTATCCCTGATCCTGGTATTTTCACCATCGTGTAGAGGAAACCAGGCCCCCTGAGACCTCAGGGTCATGACTTCAGTGGCACCTAGCATGGTCCTGTCCTGTGCCCAGCATAGCCCTTGTGGATCATAAAGGCTCCATGGGCTTCAGGGGGCGTGGCTTTTCCACCCAGGGGTCAGCAGCACAGGCACATCCCCCTTGCCCTGCTTTGGTTCTCTGTCTCCTGAGGTTGGCCTGCAATGGGACCCTGCTTTTTACTCCCTCCCACTCAGTTTGGCCCCATAGATCTTGAGTGAGCAGCTCAAAGGCTGTGCTGATGTTACTGTTGCTCTTGTCTGAGGTCTCAACATAGTGAGCACCCAAGGAAGAGGCAGCAAGCTTCTCCCCTTCCTCCAGCACCACCTGTCACTCAAGCACCAGGTCACTCTTGTGACCTACCACCAGGAAGATATCGAAGGGTTTCACTTTCTCCAGAACCTCCCGATGACACTGGGTGACACTCTCAAAGGATGTTCTGTTGGTGATATCAAACAGCCGAAGGCCTCCTGCTGAGTTCCGACGGTAGGAGCCAGTCACTGACCTCAGTAGCCAAGAAGGAAACCAGAATTAGTTTTGAATCCTCCACTGAGGACAGAAGGGCATGAGGGAATTCCGGCAGCTTAATGGAAAGAACTGGGGTAGAGCCAAGAGACCTCAATTCTTGATCAGCTGTGTGACGGGTAAGTAGCTTCATCTGTCTGAGTCCTGTCCTGTCTGCATATGGAAGGGACTTGTTCATTCAGCAAGCATTTGTGAGCTGGGCCCAGGCCTGGCAGGGGGTTACCGTGATGAATAAAAACAGGGAGCAATCCTACAACTGGATAAATACAGAACGGTCACTATGACGGGATGCAAAGGAGGAGTTCACGGGGCCAGGGGGAGGGGGTCTGACCGGGTGAGCCAGAACTTGAGGGACCGAAGTGAAGGGGTCTCTCACGGAGAGAACTGCATTGTGCCAGCGCTGACGCGAGGGGGCCAGGCCATGCAGTGCCTTGTCAGCCCCCGCAGAGAGGGGGCTTTACCCCAAAAGTTACATGAGCCATTGAAGGATTTTTAAGCAGGAGCATGACATGGTCAGATTTGCATCTTGGAAAGATCACAGGCCAGGCAGTGGAGGACAGACAGATTGACTGGAGGAGGAAGAGGAAATTGTGAAAGCAGAGATCCGTCCAAAGGCTGCTGCCTGGGTTGGAGTGGTGGCAGTAAAATCTCTGGAGAGGGGTAAATTTGAAAAGTTTAAAGTGGTGCCCTCACAGGCCTTGGCGGCTGGATGTGGGGATACAGGAGAGGGTGTCACCACGTGAGCTGTAAGGGATTCTCTGGCTTGGTGTGTCCATGTCTGGTGCAACCCACCCTGGGCATAAGGCCCTCAACCTCACTAAGCTAAGTAACCTCACGGGGTTGCAGCAGGGTTAATATTAAGCAGCTCGCAATAGAAGCAGCCCACAGTGTGTGAGCCCCTGGGGTTCATATCTTAATCTTCATAACAACCGTGTGAGACAAACTATCATCCCCACTTTACAGATGGGAAATCTGAACATTCCTGGAGGGAGGCCGCTGGGGACAATGGGCATTGTCTCTTCCTTGGAGGTGGGCCTTGCCCCAGTGGGCCAGCTTCAAGATGGTTCTCCAATACTTGGCCAGGATTTTGAGAGGGAAATGTCAGGTTTTTCTTCTTCTCTTTCTCCAGGGATGTGGGAATTTGTTTTGAGCACCTGACAGCCAAATCCCCACCTCCATCCCCAGGATTAGCTATTTAGCTCCCAAACAAGCTTCAGTTTACACCTGTGTTCTGTGTGGGGAAGCTCCTGGGGATTAGAAACCACACACCAAGCTGAAGGTCGCCCCCTGCTTCACTTCCTTCTAGCTGCTCAGATCTCTAGTAAATTCCTAGAAAATCCCAGCTCTCACTTACCTCAGGGCTCTCCCTTCTACTTACTGGCTTCTCAACCTCTCTGGGTCTTAGTCTCCATATCAGTAAAATGGAAAATTTAAGTACCTACCTTATACAGTACATAAGAAGTGCTCAGCCTTGGCCAGATAGCTCAGGTGGTTAGGGCATCCTCCTGATACACCAAGGTTTCAGGACACATACAAGAGCAACCAATGAATGGTAAGTAGAACGACAAGCTGACATTTCCCCCTCTCTCTTAAATCAATGACTAAAACAAAAAAACCAAAAAAAAGTGCTTGGTTGGTGCTGGCAGCTGTTCCTTCTCTGCTCTTAGATCTCTGCTCTTAGCTTGGCTCCTTCTCCTCCAGGTCTCAGCTCAGAGGTCATCTCCTCAGACGCCTCCCCAATCACCTCCTCTAAAGGACCCCGTCACACTCAGTCCCATCTCCCTTCTCTGTGGTTGTTATAGCACCACAACTAGAAATAGTTTGGTTCACTTATTTACTCATTTTTCTCTCTCTTCCACTAGAATGCCAGCCCCAGGAGGGCAATTCTGTATCCCCAGGGCCCAGAACAGAGCAGATGCTCATTTTTAAAAATCTGATGAAGGAATAATAATATGCTCTAAAGCACATGATTTTCCTCTGCTGGACCAAGCTTTCCCATCTGTGAAATGGGGATAATTGTGCCAACTTTGCAAGATTGTCATAAGGATGAGTGAAGGTTTTTTAAAAAGAGGTGGCCGGGAGAAGGCAGTGCACAGGGATCCCACCTGGCCCAGCTGCCATGGGAAGGAAGCTAGGAAACTCATACTGACTGAAAACCTCCCAAGAACCCGAGGATGGAGGGGATGTCAGTCACCTGTTACTGAGAAAGAATCTGAGGCTCAAAGAGGTGGAGTAACTGGCTCCCGGTCACAAAGTAAGTTGTTTCCTTTTTGCTGTGGCAACTGCCCATGCCCTTCCTGTGCCCACTGGCACAATGACATCTTCAAGACACCCCCTCTACACCTGCTGAGATTCTTCCCAACACAAACACCATCACCTCTGTGAAGCCGCCTTTCATTGCTCCAGGACATTCCCTGCCTAGCAGTTTCTGTTGCAAATTAGGTTCCCCAGGAGGCAGATTCTGAGATGGCCATTAATGTCAACATTTACAGTTGACCCTTGAATAATTCTGTGGTTAGGGGTGCTGACCTCCAGCGCAGTAGAAAATCTGCATGTAACTACACCCAAGGATTCCCAACCATGGAGTTCACCTTGAATAGCATGGGTTTGAACAGCATGGGTCAATTTTTAAAATCCACATATAAGCAGACCTGCACAGTTCAAAACTGCTGTTCAAGGGTCAACTGTATTAGGGCATTATTGAGGTCAATACCCACTTAGGGGAGGAAAGGAAGGAAGTAGTATTGAGCAGAGGGAGAATTTATCTGTGGTGTCAAAACAATGGCCTCAATGGTCTCCATTACGAGTGATAAAGTGGGGTTTGACCTTCAGAGTTGTTCAGAGTTGGGACAAGAAGGCCTGGCCTTTGAATACCCTTCCCACATTAGATTGACATTGGATGTGGGCTGTCCCTGAGAGGTGGGGAGTTCCCAGAGAGTGAGGCTCCTCATCCCACAGCACTCCCAAGAGCTGGGGGCTGTGGGGTGGGAATGGGGGTGAGGAGGCCATGGGTTCTTCAGCCCTGCCTCCCAGATCCAGACCCAGTCCCTGGCCTTGGACCAGGGGCACTGGGCAGCAACAGCCACACCTTAATCTCATGCTCAGACTCATCCAAGCCTGAGGACCTATGGAGGTTCAGAGCCAGGCTCCCCTGGAAATTCCCTGCACCCATCCTCACCCGTGCAGCTGCCTACAGACTCAGCATCTTGGCGTCCCAGCACAGGAATGCTGCTGGAAATGGCCACATCCAGCCAAGAGAAGAGTGGTGATGACAGGTCTTGTCATTCAGTTCTCAGCATGTGGCAAGTTCTGGCTGAACATATCCCATCCATTATCTCATTCATGCACTCCCCACCCCTCAAACAGAGCTGCACACCTGCCTCTAGACCTTTCGTTTATTAATTGATTGATTTTAGAGGGAGAGAGACACATTGATTTGTTGTGACTATTTGTGCATGCACTGGTTGATACTTGCATGTGATCGAACCAGCAACCTTGCATATTGGGACAACGCTCTAACCAACTGAGCTACCTGGCCAGGGTGTAGACCTTTCTGGTGGAAAGGGGCTAAACTCTAAAACCCCCAAATCCAGGAGTTATGACTGTGTCATGATACTGTTTATATGAACCCTTTGGGTATATTCTGCCATTTGCCCTTTGGAGAGACATTCTCTCCATCCCACCAGCACTTCTGAGGCTGGCACTGCTTTAACCCTTTCCTTCCCAAAGTCAACACTGGCATAGGTCTGCATGCTGCTTCCTGCTGGGGAGCCTCGGGATTTGAGTCTTGTTGATGAGCCGAATTCCCCCCCAGTCCTCCTCCAACTTGATGTCCCCCTGCTGTAGGGCCTGCTGTATGGCGTCGGCGAGTGTGTTGAAGGCCAGGTCCACATTGCAGTTATTTTTGGCTGAGGTTTCCATGAAGGCCATGCCCAGGGAGGCAGCCAGCTCCTCTGCCTCCTGGGCTGAGACACACCGGGTGCTCTGCAGGTCATTCTTGTGGCCGACCAGCAGGAAGATTGCCTTGTCAGGGCCCTGAGTGGCCATGATCTCCTGGTGCCAGTCTGGAATGTGTTCAAAGGACTTCCTGTTTGTCACGTCAAAAATCAGCAGGACACCCACCACATTCTGATAAAAAGACCTGGTGATGGACCTGATGGGATTGGGGAGTAAGTTGGAAGAGGCTCATACTGTCAAGACCCCCCAGAGGCAGGACCTCCCCTACATCCACTGAGGCCTCGGGTCCCTTCTCCCCATGATAGCTAATTTCACACTGCCTGTGCTTCTGTTCCTGCACTGTCTCTCTCCCGAGAGCCTGTGTGTTTCCCAGTTAGGGAGTAAGTTTGGTTCACACTCTCCCGACCACGCCTCCATTCCTGGAGGAGGCCTGATGTTTTCCTGATTGAAAGTCGCTTCCCCATCCCCCGCCTGGCAAACTCGCAGCACCCTTCATCCCTCAAGGCCGACACAAACCTCTCCCCCTTTCCCACCTCCTTGACCTCCGTCTGTGCTCCTACGGCTCCCTCAACACCCACATCATCCATCCCTCCAGGATGTCGGGTCCTTTTCCCGGTCCCCAAATCCTGATGCTGGAGTTGTGGGGGTGGGGAGGCGGCGCCAGGTCTCGAGTGAAGGAACCGGGGACCCGGGGCAAGGACATCCACACATCTAATTGGGCCACTGAGGCTGACCCCTCCGAAGGGCCTGCGTAGCCAGGTGGACCCGCACCGATCCTCAAACCCGAGGCCCCTCACCTACCCCCTCCTCCACCCACCTCGCACCCACAGCACCCACCGCGTCCCCGCACCTGAAGCGCTCCTGGCCCGCGGTGTCCCAGAGCTGCAGCTTGACCCTGGGCCCGGCGCGCAGCTGCAGCGAGCGGCTGTAGAACTCCACGCCCACCGTGGGCGCCGACTCCGGCCCCGGCCCGGGCTCCAGGGCCCCGGGCGCGCCCTCCACGTAGCGTTGCAGTAGCGACGTCTTGCCCACCGCCGCGTCCCCCAGCAGCGCGATCCGAAACTGGTAGCGGCAGTCGCCGGCCTCCATTGCCGGAGTCTCGCCTTCAGCCCGCCGGGCAGTCACTGTCCCG